TAAGAGAGAGAACAAGACCCAAAGGGAGATTCGAGCTTCGTTGACCTCCTGGCGAAACGAAACGACCTTACAAGAGTTTCCTCTTAAGAAAAGCAACTCACGGGAGCGAAAACGAGGGGTTGACGAAAAAACATTCGAGTTTTTAGACGAGGTGGTTTCTTACTCGACGTAGAATTTCACGACAAAGCAAAAGAAGAAGAATAAGGGCCACCTCGAATGACGTCGATGAAAATTTTTCCTCTTTTTTCTTTTTCTTCTTCTTCTTCTTCTATTTCTTATTTTTCTAATTTTTTTCCTCCTTGTTTTTTTATTTTCTTGTGCAATCTGGCTAATGTACGAACGTTCACACGATGTCTTATGTTAGAAGGAACGATAAAGAAGAGGACAGACGGACTCCCGTTTCCGGCACGTGCGTCTCGTAAGCGCCGTGTTTTCCGCGATACTACTCGATGCCACAGTGTGCTCGTAAGAAATCACCGACAGAACTCGAAAATGAGAAACGACGAATCCTGAAGGCGTCACGTGCTACTAAGATACACTTTTAAAAAGGAGTGCGCGACATATGTTTTAGACAGGGTAGAACCACCAGCAAACCAACCAGCCAGCCAGCCAGCCAGCCAGCTAGCCAGCCAGCTAGCAAACCAGTCGACCAAACGTCCAATTCATCCCCTCCTAGTTTCTTGACCGAAATCTACATTATTTTTCTATTCGAAGTCATTTAAAATTTCCTCGGCGCCACTTTGGATAACAAACAAATCATTGTGTCAATGATATTCCTAGGAGCAAATTATATAAATAAGTGCAATCTTATTCTTACAAATATAATAAATACAGTTAAAGGGTAGGTGTAGAAATGAAAAAGGTTGTTTGAAGAAAACATGTTGAAGATCCGTGTAAACAGACCAGTAAGTAATCTAAATCATATAAATAAGGGAATTATACTAGCCAAGAAAAAAAAAAGAAAAGAAAAGAATCACCTGTAGCAACCCTCCGAGAAGATTTTCACAATGACGTGCGTGAAACCACTAGGCTATCCTTTTTTTTTCTTTTCTGGTAAATCAGAAAATGAGGATGAGTGTCCCTTTTCTTATAAGGGGGACATCCGAGTTATATAATAAATCTTCGTAGATAGGTCTTTCGCCGGTGTCTTTGTTCTTTTTCTGGTTGCCTTCTCGACCGAGTGTCGAGGATTTTCTTTCGAGAATGATCGTGAAAAAAGCATGGACTTTGAGGAATGTTACGAGTGTAAGTATCTTCGAAGGGTTTCGTCTGTCGAGAAGCTGTGTTGGTTCGAGCAAGGAAAATGGGATGGTATCATGAACGTGGTTCGACCACCTCCTGCTGTTAAAGCAACTTCGTGGGGATAACAGAAGGGTGAAGGGGTGTGGTATTGGTGCACCCTTCGAAAGAACCCTGCGGTCATTCTCGTCCTTTAGTCGGCAACCTTTAAAGCCTCGTACACATCGAACGTACCATTATGCAGCAGACTTCAAGCTACGGGAACACGACCAACTATACCAACAACAAGGACAACAACAACAAAGACGATGACGATGACGATGACGATGGCTATGATAATGATGATGATGACCGTTACGGAACCGCCCTGTAATGGGATAAAAATAACCGTGTTTATATAGGATTATGAACAGATCATCTTTTCTATTCTAGTGTATTGGAGACAACACGTAGGAAAAAAAAAAGGAAATAGGGAAAAATAATGCTTTCGATGAAGGGTATCTATGTCCGAACTATTCCCTCCATTATTGTCTAGCTCCGAGGGATACTTGTTTATCGATTAGTGGCCTGTTAGAGCTACGAAATACGCTAACTGTAACCGAAGCTTATCCCCAACTTAGTCATGAATAAATATCGTCGTTTGACCTACACAGTGTGGTTAATGTTCGGGATGAGATCGGACAACATCCTGAATAATCTATGCTTTTTGCGAAGCCTTCCTGCGCTAACTCCGTTCGCTATTTAATTGAATACACAAGTTCTTCTTAATAAATATTTCAAGATTCTTCGATGATTTCAATGCTCACGTTTCGTGAATAAGAATCGAAAGAGGATTTTGTACATTATTTAAAGGTCTACTGTATTTTAGCATAATTTTTAAGTTCGCGACCCTTCGCAATTTCTACGATCACCCTTATGCAAATTATGATTTAACTATGCCCTTGTAATCACGAAGAGTTCTAGTTGATTATCGAGTTGGTGTTGAATTTCATTGGTTTAAATGCGATACGATTCGAATTTTCGATAACGCACACAAAGCGAACACGAATTTAAAGCTTGTTACGAGCTTCTTTCTTTCCTTCCCTTTATCGATACAAGAAAGAACCTGAAGGGCTTCCAAACGAACACAAAAGAAACATGCTCTCTCGGTCCACATGTTCGTCCCACATTGACCAGAATTCATCTACCAGCATAACCATCTAAAGAAATTTACAAAGCGGGAGCTTTCCGATGCAATGAACGCCAACAATAAAACTCGGAGAGTAACGTGCTCCGAAAAGATATCAAATTCGAAATTCAAGATTTTCAACAAACGAGAAAGAAGATACTCCTAGTATCTCGATATCATCAACCTGTTAAAAAATTAATACAAATAAGATTTATTATAATTAATATGAATTATTTTATTGCAATAATATCCCGCATGTACATGAAATAATCATAATAATAATAATAATACATAAAAATATATATAAATATATACCACCTCGATTTTATTCATTACGTTTTTGAATTTTTCGTAACAAAATAAACAATCACAAAAATACTACTCGGCTTTATTATACCGGTGTCATAGTAATTACAACGGTACGGCTATTCCCGGTGCTCAATTGTCTTTCCACGGTAACGAGTTTGCGGCTTACGCGGTCGCAGAAATGTATCGTTCGTTTCCACCCCTTGCCTCGTTTCTCCAACTCTCTGCTCGTCCTCGAATCATCCACCCCCAAGAGAGAAAAGAGAGAAAAGGGTAAACGATAAATGAGTGAGAGAGAGAGAGAGAGAGTGAGAGGGAGAGAGGAGGAGGACCATTTCTGTTTCTCCTCCCTTCCACCACGAATGTTTGCTTTCGTAACACGTTAACGAGACTCGTCGCGAAATTCGAGCTGCGATATTAAGCACCAGCGAATTCTCCACCCCATATACCACCCCTATCCCTCCCACATCCAACTCTACTACTTCTCCCTCATATTTGATTATAGTTTTGCTAATTGCGTCGGTGTAAGAGAGAAGGGAGTGATGTTGTTCGATGTAGGAAGTTCGGGGGAGGGTATAGGAGTGGGGATAGGGGTGGTTAGTGGGGATAACGCTTGGAAACGAAACGTTATTAAATTATTCTAGTCTAACGCTGTATCCGTTCATGTTCATGGACATAAATTGACACCGAAAACGTTCGAATCGAATGGCTCCAACGTGGACCATTCCCGATTGGTACGTTGCAAGCTCCGCAATGGGATTAAATTCCTGTTATTAATGGATTTGTTTGCGGTACCCGACTCGACGGTCAATATTTATTTATCCGAACGGACGTTAGCGCAGCGACAAGTACTACACTATCCCTGAGGGGGTTTGTTGTCTGATAAGAGTTACCTTCGTGGAAAAAGGGAAGACGGTGAAAGGAAAAGAGAGATTTCCCTAAATAAATGACTGTCGTATTTATTTGGTGAAAAAACAAATTTATATACCTACCTAAAAGCCGAAACACCGTTGCGGTGGCGCGTTCGTTTCGGTTTCGAAAAAACGTACCGAGAAAAGAGTTTTTTTCTTTCTCCCTCTCTCTTTCTCTCTCTCTCTCTCTCTCTCTCTCTCTCTCTCTCTTTTTATTTTCTCGAAATTCTTTCCAAGCTTTCTTTACTTTGGTCTCGACGGTAATCAAACCGTATCTTTTTTTACGTTTACCTAAAGGTATTCTTACTCTTTGCCTTTTTCAAACGTTCGACTCCGATAATTTTTAAAGGTTTACTTTTACCTATGAATTTTGATCCTCCCCTAAAGCTTTTTCTCCTAAAGTATTCCCATAATTTAACCGTACGATGCTGACTAGCGTTTGACAGGCGTATCGAACGTAATACATCACGAAAACCCCCAGTTCGGTAATTCCAGAGAGCCCATGTATTTGGTTTACGTTGAATTACCTGTGGTTTCACATTCTCCGTACATTAAAAATATTTCTAAACAATTTTGTTTTTTTTTTTAAAAATAACATTATTCCACGATACATGGAACGATGTGGGCGTTTCCAATTGTCCATCTGAAATATCATACCTGAATAAAATAAGATTATAATATAAAATCTGACAAGAAGATGAAAAATAATTCGAAGTGTTATATAAAAAAAAAAGAATAAAATACCAATATAAATAAATCTAAACCTACTCGCGCGAGAGCTCGCGAGCTACTCCGCAGCATCCGGCGCGTGGTAGAAAGACACGACGTCTCTTTTTCCCCCACCACTACGTTTTCTACCTCCTCACGCACGATCATCCCCACTCCACAAATTCCCCCTACCAGCATCGAAACCACCACCACTGGCATCACCGCCGCCGTTTTTGCCGCCGCCCAGCACCGGCGCCCAACAGCCGAAGGACCCCGAGTCTTCTGTGCTACGAGTAGTCAGTTGGCCGACATGAGCCGCGCGTGTTTGTTGGGGATATTTGTATCTATATCTTTCTCGAAATTGAACTATCGAAACTCGACGCGTCGATGCTCGATTTATTAAAACGACCACAGGGTTCTTGTTTATTGGATCCTAATGATATTACTTTTCTTACAAATCATTCCACGATTGGATAATTAAGTTTAATATACATATAAACATACACATATGTGAACGATAAATGGTTATCACAAGATACGATAAATTATTTTGGGGAAATTTGGAGTGCATAAAATATAGGTGCTTCGAACGTGATAGAGTGATGAAGAGATCGATAGTGTTGTTATAGATTCGTTTGTTAATTTTATAATTTGTCATTTATTTTATCTTTGTTTTCTTTCATTTACAATCTTTTTTTCTTTACTATCGATATTTATTTATTTTACTTTTTTTTTTCTCGGTGAATATACGTACATAATCAAGTTGTTTCCTGTTTTTTTTTTTCGAAAGCGTTTAAATTTCGAATCTAATCGTGGAGTAAAAAGAACAGGTCGTCGAAACACATGAAGCTTAGAAGACGGAACGGCACGGTGTAACGAACTGTACGAATGATAACAGTGTAAGTGCGGTGGGGTTAAAGTGCCAACCCGTTTATGGATAACTGCGATCGGCCGATCGAATTTACGAGTAAGTGATAAAAACACCAGTATATATTTTTATGCATGTATGTATATATATCTATGTATGTATGTATGTACGTATATATGTATGAATGTGTGAACATTATTCTTCTAGACTTAATTAGTTATTTATTTACATTTCTTTTCTAACGAAGATATTTTTTCCATCAAGAAACCGTACCTCGGAATATTACCATATTATTGTCCGCCGTTAGACTCTTCTAACGAACGAATAGAGATGACTTTTTCTAAGAATGTAGAAGTCATAAAATATATTCAAACATAAATATCAAACAAGATGAAGACTTTTTACTTTCTCAACGGTAAGGGACAAAAGTATTTTCGAATCATTCGACCGAATGCACAATTTCAAAGCCTCTCTCTCTCTCTCTCTTACTCTTGTATTCTTCTGGTGAACAAAATTAGGAGAAGATAGACGTTCGAATGGCAACCCTCGAGAGAAAACTCCCGCTGTGCTTTTTTTGACCTTTAACAAACGTCAGCGAACAAACTACGCAACGTTATGTAGTAGCTTTTTTGTATACTCGTAGAAATTTTTCTCTCTTTCTCTCCTTCTCTTTCTCATAAGGAAGGTAGATTTAAATTATCCTAAAATTATGGATTTTTAAATGGAAACTTGGGCTACCTCGGATACCTCCAATCTCGCCGACGGACTGTATCGCGTTACCACGCTCGAGTCGAGTCGTTAAATAAACGCGAAGCGACACGAACCATTCCTCCTTCTTTACTTGTTGCTTCCTAACGATTATTTTTCTTTTTTTTTTTATTTATATTTATTTTATCATAGATATACCACGTATATATATTATCATTTGTGTACAATTAAAAGTCACACACTTTAGACTGAAAATAATTTATGTAATTTGCATTGTCCTATAGTTCACATTATTTTTTTTTTAATTTATTAACAATTACATCATAGAAAGCATTAATAGTAGTACGTGATCGTAAAACATACTGCGTTATCCGTTCCACAACAATGCTCGTACTGATGAATAAGGTTAGAGCTGTCATATGATTTTCATTTTTTTTAATTTGATATATCCTTCACTTTTTCCTTCATTTCATAGAGAATAAGAACGGAGTTATTTAACTCTCCCATACACAACGTTTGACGTGAGCTATTTATACCTACTTATATTCCCCTCCTCACCGCTATCTTGGCACTTGGCCAATGGTACTAATCTTCATCGTGACCCTATGACACGGACAGTAATACTTTTATATCTTGTTCCTCCTACTTTTACATTTCTATACGTTTGTTATAACTTTGTCCCCTTTTAAAGGAAAAGAATGAGAAAGAGAGAGGGAGACGATAGAAAACTTTACAAACAAATTTAAAAGAGAAAGAGAGTAACGCGTTCGTTCATCCGCATCGATGAACCCAGACACGCCGTACCCGTTTTCCCGTATAAAATCGAATTGGTTCTATGTGCCTAAAGGCACGATAAGGTATTTTTAAATTTTTTTTCCTATCTGTTTTTACTTCCTTTTTTTTAACCCTCACCCTCTATTTTTTTCCTCTCTCTCTCTTTTTTTTTTTTCCTATTATTATTTCAAAACGCAAGAGAAAGTTGAGGAGGATGAGAATGAGGAGGGTTGGTACAACGTAGAGAGGAAATCAAACGTGAGTCACGTCGGCGATAAACTAGAAACATTTTGCGAACGCATGTCGGATGAGTCGAAGCGTTGCTGCAACGGCTGGTGGTCTCGCATTTTTCTTCTTATGGGTAACGCGTTAGGTTCGAGCCTACGAGAGGGATAAATAGCCGCTGGTCGAGCTCTTTTTCTCTTTCTCCCTCTCTCTCTCTCTCTCTCTTTCTGTTTCTTTCGTGAAGGTTGCTAACGCGGAAAACGCATAACCGTAAAATATCCTTCCATATGCGGCGGTGGTTGCGAATAGAGATTTACAAACATTCAAGTGCACTTACTAGAATTACGTCTACTGGATCACGTCCCTTTTGGTTTGCCGTTTACAGTGGCAATAAGTTTTCCAGGATTTATGGGAAATATATATATATTATATATAAATATACAGATGTATATATATGTGTGTGTGTGTGTATGTATATATATATGGATATACGCGTGAAAACTCAAGCGCCACCAACGAACCCTCTTTGCTTTAAACTTGCATCCGTTCTCTCTCATTCTGTCTCATTCTCTCCCAACCTCTCTTTCTCTCTGTCTAGGAATATTCCCAAGATACGTATCGTGTTAAATTCACGAGCGCGTTTTAACCCTATAACTGTACCCTGTATTTCCTGCCAACTGTCAGAATTACGTTTGGAAAAGTGAGAACGTCCCTCGAAATAGAAATCCAAGTTTCGATCTCTGATCTCTTCGGTCGTGTTCCTATCTCTCTGAAAAGTCAGAGAAAGAGAGAGAGAAAAACAGTTTAAAAAAAATAATCAAATTATATAAATTCTAATGAAAATGTTAAAACCTTGTTAGCTGATTTTCTGCGAATGCCATTTTTGTCCAAATAACTTTCGATTGATCAAGCTCTGAAATTTGTTGTTTCAAGTAGCACGTTCTATAATTTCTATCGTTTCAATTCGTTATCTCCAAGAGGAAGAAATTACCAAGATTTGTAGTTTGATTCCGTAACTGGCATCCTCGGAGCTTCGATCTATGATTTCTTCTAATTTCTTATTACGTCTCTTAGAAAAAGAGATGGAGAGAGTAAGATGAATACAAAATCTTGTTATGCGATTCCCTGTTTGCAAGTGAAATGGTAATAAACTGTGCAATTTTTATTCAAGTATTATACTATTACACCAATCGATCAACCTAACAAACTAGTTGTTACAAGAGGCACGTTCCACAATTTCTCTCTCATTCGTTCCCCTTTAAATTCATTATCTTCAAGAGGAAGAAATTGGAAAGATTTGTACTTTGATTCCGTAACTGGTATCCCTTTAATCAACGCTTTTTTCTAACGTGTTGCGTGTTCTTACAGAATAGAAGGAGAAGAGGTGTAAAGAAAAAGATAAAATAAATTAAAAATATATACTTGGGTGGGTTGAAAAGTTTTAACTCTAAGATTAAAAAAAAAGTTTTTTTTGTCACTCACAATCAATTTAAAAAGAATAAGCTCAAACAACTTATTCACCTATCACATTTACATACATTGCTGCATGATTATCTGCAAGAAAAAAATTAATCATACAATTTTGTTATCAAAGTATTCAAGAAGAGACATGTTCAGCAATATCTCTCTCTTCCTCTTCCATTCCTTTCTTCAAATTTGTTATCTCAAAAAAAAAAGAAAAAAAAAAAAATACAAAGAATATCTTTGTATTCGCGTAAACCGATTTGTGGTAAAATTCCATAACTGGAGTATTCCTTGAGATATTAGATAAAACCATTTGAATGATTTTGAAAGATCATTGATCGTAAAGACGAAGCAACGTATCGATGCAGGAGCGACGGTGATTTGCAAAACGATCGATTCAATTACTACCTTCGACGATACGTCCGCGTCCGTGTAGGATCGGTGAACGAACGAACGAATGAACGAACGAACGTGCGATGCTATCGAGTATTACAGTGTTCGAGTTATACCGTGTCTCGATTCTGTTCTCCTCTAGAATAAAATCGATGTTGAAATCCGCCATATATATTCGTTCGAACGATCGGTAACACAATATTCTCGACGATCCGTGCCGTTTATCGCCACCGTTACCGATAATTCGTGACACACGTGACCTCTCGATCGATCCTGAATTTTTTACCTTGTTCTGCGAGACGCCGCCATTCTCTCTCTCTCTCTTTCTTTCTCTCTCTTTTTCTCTTTCTCTTCTGTATTACTCTTGTATACCGGAGATAACACATTGCGCCTTTCCTTTGCCGTTCATTTGATCTGACCGAATAATTAATGATTCCGCGATATCTTGCTTTTAAAGTAGAGAGAAACGGCGGTACGTATCAATCGTCATTGGCGCCGGATTAATAATGATCGTAGTAATAATAATAATAATGCTAATGATAATAATGATTATAATAATTATGATTGTTTTAATAATTTTAATAATAATAATAATAATAATTATTATTATTATTATTAAAACGTGAATAATAATAATCGCTTTGTTCGAGTTACACAATAGTAATAGAATCATCGTATTATTATTGCACTATTTAACGAAATGTCGATTAATCTCAAGAGAAGTAAGTCATACTACATTATTTTGTGTGACAATGCTCATTAATTATTATACCGCTAATATTAAAACCAACTAATTTGATTTTACACGGATTCCATCAAAACTCCAATCGTAATTATTCAATTTTGAAATTGGATTCGTACTTTTAATGTTACGTCACGTACACATATGTGATTTCACGTTCCACAGATCGATAACGTTTTAAATCGAAATTCTAACGCGTCGACATTAGCGTATTTTACGATTATCAAGTTTGTTCTACATAGAATGCAAATTTTTAGATTTGTCAAAGCGACTTTTCTCTACTCAGAAACTATTATTTATCTTTTTGCATGGTTAATAAATTAACAAAGTAAATGGCGATTCCAAAAATGGTTAGATCCGTTTCTCTGGTTTTCTAATCAACAAGCAATAGTCATTTTATCTTGAAACCAATTAGTACGTTGATAAATATGACCCGGATTTATTTTAAAGTATTTTTCTTTCTTCTTTTTTTCTTTAGAATCAAGTCTGTAAAAGATAAGAAGGAGAATGATAGAAGATGAAATAATAAAAAAAATTAGAGAAGAAAGATAAATACTAAAACGTTTACTCTCGAATAGATTACGTTGAACGAATGACTAGATCCTGGTGGTCTATAGGAACGACGACACGGTGGGTGGTTATGTCCATTTGATTCTAAAGAAGGGACACCTTATTTGACTTCGTTGAGAAAACGTTATTAACGATTAAGCGAACTATCTATACACACATTTATGCAGTATGCTAGTAGCTATTCTCAACGTTAAAGACTACTCGAGTACTCAGTCGAGCCAAG